ATTTCGAATCTGCTGTTGAAGGCCTCCAGTGAATTCTCCATTTCCAAAACCGTACTCTCCAATCCCAGAATGTCTGTCTGGCTCAGCTCTTTTATATAATTTTTATGTTCTTTACTGAGAATCTCTATCTGTTGTCTCATTGCTGCCATTCATTATTGTCATACTTTATTTCTTTAAATACAGTTTCCTTTGGTCTTTGAACATATTTAAATTAATTGCTTTGAAGCTTTTCTCTGCTAAATCCACTATCTGGGAACACTCACAGGCAGTTTCTATAGACTTTTGTTTTCCTGAATATGAGTCAGACATCTCTATATTTTGCACGTCTTATAAACTGTTGAAAAGTGAACGTTTTAGACAATATATTGTAGCAACTCTGGATTCTGATATTTTCCCCCTTAAAGTTGGTGGTGCTGCCTTGTCTGCTTGTTCACTTTTGTTTAGTGACAGGCTGGGTTAAACACATGAAATCTATTTTCACTGCGATGTGCAACCACGACGTGTCCACTCAGTTTCTTCTTGTTCTATGTTCTTTTTCCTCCTCCTTTTTAATAAGACTGGTTTCCTAGGAACTGCCCAGTCACTGGCTCTCCTGTGGTAGCCTGCCTCTGTGAAGTCACTTCCACAGACAGTGACACTGGACACTGGTGTCACCCACCACTGCAGACAGAAACTGCCAGTCCTTGCAGCCTGCTCCACACTGGCAGAAACTCCATACAGCACAGCCTGGGGCATTTGGGAAGCAGCACCCTGCTAAACCACAAATTTCCATTGCTCTTACCTGAGGTCTAGAAGTTTTCCAAAGCATAAATGTGTCTCAGATTATTGTCCCTTCATTGACATCCAAAACACTGAAATGGCTGCTTTGTCAATTCTGTCCAGTTTTTTAGGTGCTTTTTTGGAAGAGGATCTGCTGGTCTCTTCACTTGGTCTTTACCCCTACTTCTCTATTATTTTTAATGCTACCTTATAAATATTTTACAAAGTTTTTCTCTAATGATTATTTTGAAATATTTCAAATAAGCAAAAATTACAAAGAATATAATAAACATCTGTCTACCCACACACTCAGCTTAATAAATAAAACATTATAGATACATTTACTTCTCTCTGATCCTATTTCCTTTCTTCCCTCTCCAGAGACAACCATTATTCTAAATTTTGTATTTATTAATCTTATGTATGTTTTTCTTAGTTTATACCTATATACATGCTCTTAAATTACGGCCGGGCGCGGTGGCTCAAGCCTGTAATCCCAGCACTTTGGGAGGCCGAGACGGGCGGATCACGAGGCCAGGAGATCGAGAGACGATCCCGGCTAACATGGTGAAACCCCGTCTCTACTAAAAAATACAAAAAAACTAGCCGGGCGAGGTGGCGGGCGCCTGTAGTCCCAGCTACTCGGGAGGCTGAGGCAGGAGAATGGCGTAAACCCAGGAGGCAGAGCTTGCAGTGAGCTGAGATCCGGCCACTGCACTCCAGCCTGGGCGACAGAGCAAGACTCCGTCTCAAAAAAAAAAAAAAATAATAAATAAATAAATAAATAAATTACTTAATTAAAATGTTTTGCATTTTAATTTTATTCAAATGATATCTCACTCTAAATATTCTTCTATAACTTACTGTGTTTGGGAGACTTACGTAATACATGTAGCTTTAATTCATTGACAGTTAACTGCTGCATAAACATGCCACAATTAACCCAGGCTCCTATGACAGACACAGGTGTTTTCAATAACCTGCTGTTACAATGCTGTAATACTCTCATACACGTTGTCCGTGCACAAGTGCAAGAGTAACAGGGTGTAAAGAAGGATAGAGAGGCTATCGGTGCTTGTGTAAATATATGACATCTACCCATTGGCTCCCACATGGTTGGAGGTGAAATGTGAGAGACGGGGAAACGGCGGTTGTGTCCACCACAGGGATCCATGGCCTTCCACAGAGTCTAGATTGAGAGTCACAAGGGGCCTTATAGAAGGCCTCTATACTCCAACCCCCACCCAGGAGGCAACATAGCCTGTGTCACAGAGCATTTCAGTGGAAAATTTGGGACTAAAACCTAGGTTTCCTTTCTTTACCGCCTTCTTTCTCAAAGCAAGATCTGTAGACCAGCAACATTAGTGTCACCTAGAAACTTGTTAATAATACAGGCTGTTGGGCCATATTCCAGACTTATTGAATCAGAACTTGCATTTTAACAAGATTCCGAGATGCACATTAAAGTTTTAAAGCTTGAAAAGTAGAGTGTGTCTCTAGGGGTGGAATTACTGATCACAGTGTGCAGATTCTTTTAACTACACCGGACAATGCCAAATTTCTCTCCAAAGTGTCGTACCAATTTACCCAGTTTAGTTTCCCACATTACTTTTTCTAACTGTCTATGAACCTAATCACAACCTAAGGCCGTTTCCTATTGCTCTTATGTACACCTCCACTGTTTGCCTTACAAAGTTTCCGTTTCCTAAGAATATATCCTCAAACTATACCCCTGCATTTCTTTAATTGGTGCTGTTAAACACACGTCTGTGATAACAAGAGTTACATGGTCAAATAGGTTTGGGAAACACTACATTAATCAAAATAAAACAGGTTTTTTGTTTAGTTTTGTGTTTGTTTTTGAGACAGGTTCTAACTCTGTCGCCAGGATGCAGTGCAGTGGTATGATCACGGCTCACTGCAGTCTCAACTTCCCCAGGTTCAGGAAATCCTCTCACCTAAGCCTCCCAAGTAGCTGGGACTACAGGCATGCACCATTACACCCGGCTAATTTTTGTATTTTTTTGTAGAGATGGGGTCTCCCTATGTTGCCCAGGCTGGTCTTGAACTCCTGGGCTCAAGCAACCCTCCTACCTTGTCTTCCCCAGGCTCAGGGAGCAGTGATCGTACCACTGCACTGCATCCTGGGCAACAGGATTAGACCTTGTCTCAAAAAAAAAAAAAAAAAAAAAGCCTGTTTTATGTTTTACTTTGATTAACCTAGTATTTCCCAAAGTTCTTGGATTACAGGTGTGAGCCACCACGACCAGCCAAAACAGGTTCTTTAAGACTTCTCAGAGACCCAGAAATGTTAATAAGCACTAGGAGCCCCTAGATGTGGACTACGTTTCAAGGATTTTCTGAAACTTTGTGCCCCCATGAGTCCTCTAGGAACATATCTAAACAAACTAACATTTCAAGGAACACGGATGGGAAATGCTGCATTGATACAGGCTTCCCGTCCTTTTTAAATACAAGTAATTTAAATTTTTTTTAAGATTTCAATTCCCTCTTATAATTCCCAGATCTTCTCATACTTTTATTAAAAGACTCTCATTTTAGCTACTTCTCTGTGGTTCTGTGTAAGTAAAACAACATTAATAAGAAAGAAAAATTCATTTTGCTCAGCTGAATTTCTCCCTATTCATTTTTCTTCGTGTTTTAAGTAAAGAAGAAATCAGCATGGAATGAAGATAAGTTACATTAGGCCCAAATTTTTAAACAGTTTTTCTTCCCTCTGAGACAACTGAGGAAACCAAACCGGCACCTGCTCTGAAACCCGGCAGAAAAACTACCCCCCTGAGCCCCGCGTTTCCACACAGATGTCCAGCTAAACTAAACTGCTCCTTAATTTTCTTTTGGTTTCCCTGAATAAATTAAAAGTTACACGACCCCAGTGATCTCTCGATAGTGAAAAATCACACATTTTATTTCATTCTTTGTGTTTTTCTTTAGTTTCAGTTTTTGTACAATAAGCATGTGTTACTTTTGCGATTGGAAAAAATACACCTTACTTATCTTCTTTTCTTTCTTTTTTTTTTTTTTGAGATGGAGTCTTGCTCTGTCACCCAGGCTGGAGTGACGCAGCGTGATCTCGGCTCACTGCAACCTCCACCTCCCAGGCTCAAGCGATTCTCCTGTCTCAGCCTCAGCAGCTGGGATTACAGGTGCCCTCCACCATGCCCAGCTAATTTTTAAATTTTTAGTAAAGACAGGGGTTTCAGCACGTTGACCAGGGTGGTCTCAAACTCCTGACCTCAAGTGATCCGCCCACCTTAGCCTCCCAAAGTAATCTTACTTCTAAAAGGCTTAGTTTGAAAGGAAGACAACAAGTCAGAGGGCACTAAAGTTTAAATCCACCTGCACCATTCTATCAAGATGTGCAGGGAAGTACCAATGACTCTCAGTTAGGGTGGGCAAGTCTTTGCAAGAAACTTGCTAAAAGTCATTATGTAAAAACTACACGATGAAAAGTTAGTTCTTTAAATAAGTCAAACTCTAAAATTCTCATGAATGCAAAACTAAATTTTATCTAGATTTCAACTTAAGGAGACAGAGTGGTGAAACTAACGGAACATCAACAAAACTGGGGTGTGAGCCCTCTTCTGTTGGCCCTTACCTCTTTCAGTCCCCTTCCTAGTCTGTAAGATGAGAGAGAACCTACATCACGCATGGTTATTGTAAGAACTGTCTAAAAAACATATTTAAAAAACTCATCACACAGCGCCTGGCATTTATATAGTAAGTGCTCAATAAACTGCAACTATTGTTATTAAACAATTAGAAATACCCTGACTGCTTCCAGAAGAAATAAAGAAGCATTGTTACTACTGAAATTATATGAATTACTAAGTCAGTTTCAACATTCATCCTGATGAAAACAGAATCCTTCCCAGACAGGTAATCCTTGAGAATCCATGACATAACCTGGGTGAATGATTCCAAATCAAATACATTATTTGTCGAAGTTAGTAAGCAAAATGTAGAAACGCAAAACAACTAAGGATTTAATCACAGCCAGTGATTTAATAAGTCCAAGTTGTACGGACTGCTGTGATCATTACTTATGAAGAAGAAGAAATTCAACTATGGGGGAAAAACATGTATCCCAACGAACAAATGGCAATACTAATAGGATTATGTTGGAAATTACATGGCTTCAGCAGAGGCAGAACGGTTACCTATAAAGCAATGATTTCTAAGAAGAAAAACAAAACCAACAGCCCCCATGCTTTGTTTACCTGGGTGAGTCATGGTAACCGGCTCCTCTTTGGATTTATTATTGTAGATGACTACAGCAACTGCATTGTGGAAAGCAGCCCGTGATATTTTCTCTTTAAATGTGCAGTTTCCCCTCTGCAGCAAGGCAATCCACTGTTTGATATTAGGAGGGACAAAGAACCGGGTTTGTGGATCACAGCCCAGATGATCAGCAACTGAAAAGAAAAAGAAATATACACATGAAAGATAAATAAAACTGACCAAGTCTTTATCAAAGCGTCAGCTGCTTTCTGAATACCACACAGAGCTAAAGCACGTCAAGCAGCTTGTAGCCAGCGGAGCTATGAACACATCCACAAACAATGCAATGAATCAGTATCTACAGGGAGAGATGCTCCAATGAACTGCAATATAATGCACATTAAAACAATGAAAATTTCTTAACTTTACAGACTGTTAAAAAATAAAAAGACTGATAATATCCAGTACAGGGCAGTAAAGGGAGGAGGAAGAAAAGGCCAACACAGATGAGAAACCCAGGTGACTGATGTAACCCCGACTTTTATTCACTCGTGTTCAGGTGCTAGCCCTCTCCACACACACCCCACCACTCCACACACACCCCACCACCACTACCCCCACTGTGAGAAAGCAGGAGACTGGACTGGGGGCTAATGAGGAAGCCAACGTAATCCTTGGTTCAGTTACTAAGCGATCCTGTTGAAATTCAACCATGTTTGAACAAAGTTCTTCGTCAATGTCTAAGGAAAATTTACAAGTTTGGTTTTGGCTTATATTTGAAAGGTGAAGTAGTTAAAATAACATCTAAGTAGAATAAATGTATTATTCCTCTAATTTATATTAGCAAAAGTCACCCCACAACTCCCTATCAAGATACACTTACTGTATCCATCTGTTTAACAGGTTACAAGAAGACACTAAGAATGTTGGTTCTACAAATCACATGGCCACTGTTCTGGATTTTTTGGGGTAGTTTATTTAAAATACTCATAAGTACATTTAAATCTGTCAGAGTAAGCTCCTCAATTTTTTACTCTGCACATATGGCCATCATGGTTCTGACATCCTCTGCAAATCTTAAGAAGCCCCCGGCTGCTCTTCCCACTCCCACTCCCACATTTATAACAGGTTCAAACGAGAAAGAGGGCAGTCCAGGAGGGAAGAGAAGTCACCAAAGGTAGTGTCTGAAGACTGCTGGCACACAGTGGCGGCGGGTGCCAGCCCTGTGCCCTGAGTCAGCCCTGTCGGTCCTCTGTGTGCCAGGAAGGAAGCGAGGAAAGTGAACACAGCACATAGATCTAAAAGGGTGATATCAGAAGTAAATAAATCATAAAAACATGGCAAGATGTGGTGGCTCAGGCGTGTTAATCCCAGCACTTTGGGAGTCTGAGGCAGGTAGACTGCTTGAGCCCAGGAGTTTGAGACCAGCCTGGGCAACAAAGTGAAACAAAAAATACAAAAAATTAGCTAGGTGTGGTGGGACGCATCTGAATTCGCAGCTACTGGGGAAGCTGAGTGGGAAAGATTGCTTGAGCCATGATCGCACCACTGAACTCCAGCCTGGGTGACAGAATAAGACCCTGTCTCAAAAAAAATCATAGAAACATTAAGTATTAATTGTAGTAGATAAAGAGATGACACCAGAGGGAAAATGTTGGCTTTCCACACACCTGGAAGCACAAGCTTAGCAAAAGAAACTAAATGCTTACACTACTTAAATTGTAAAACGTAAAGATGTCACTAACTGCAGAGAACTATTACATCTATCATTCCCACTTAAATATCTTTCTCCAGATTTTCTTATAATTAATTGTGGTGAGAGACTGCAATAAGAGCATATTTGCTACCAGAGGTCTCGCATTACATGAAATGGAAGACGAATGTTTTCACAATTTTTCATGATTGATATTGTATACAACCATTACCTACCCTGTTCCTTAAAAGGTTTCTGCACTCTGAAACTTTAACCCTTCCTCAACCAAATTAAATAGGGGGATAGAAGCCTATGTCACAATTTTAGGAGCAATTGAAAGACACAGTCGATGTACTGTAAAACTTTAAAATCCTGAAACAGATTGTTTACTTTCAGCACTATCTGTTTCATCGATAATTATGCTGTTTAAAATAAAAGCAGCTCGGCAACCTGTTATGATAATCTCCTGTCTTAGAAAAATGTCTAATACTGTATCCAAACAGGGAATAACCAAAGAACTGGTTTTAGGTGTTTTGTTATTTTTCAAAACACGCTGCTGCACAAACCCTGGAAGAAAATGCAAAATAGAGAATATGTAAAGTGATGTGTTCCCTTGCCTTCTGTGTAACAATCATTTGTCTGTGACTAATCTCTTCTTCCCTGTGGTCTCGCATACATGTACAACGTAGTAAAGAGGAAACAACATAGTTATGGAATCAGCAAGACCTGTGCTCCAGGTTCTAGATCAACTGCTTACTAGCTGTGTAACCATCACAGGTTACTGAAATTGTCCCATCTTTAATTTTTACTTACTTATAAAGATTGAGATATTATCTCAGAGTTTTACATGTGAAAAAGCCAACAGTAATTCTTTCTGGCTAGGCATGGTGGCTCACGCCTGTAATCTCAACACTTTGGGAGGCCAAGGTGGGAAGACCACTCGAGGCCAGGAGTTCAAAACTAGCCTGGGCACATAGTAAGACCTTCATCTCTACACAAAATAAAAAATAAAAAAAATTAGCCAGGCATGGTAGTTCCAGCTACTCAGGAGGCTGAGATGGGAGGATCGCTTGAGCCCAGGAGTTCAAGATTACAGTGAACTATGATCATGCCGCTGCACTCCAGCCTGGGTGACAGAATAAGACTCTATCTCTAAAAACAGTAATAATTCCTTCATTCTTAATGCTTAAAAAAAACCTCTTTCCTTTTGTTTGTTTCACTGACATTCATCCTATGTTGTCTTGGTGATCCAGTTTGGTGCCCTTGGGAGTTTCTGTGCCGAAATATGTGGGCTTCCCCAAGCTCAGCAGCACCCCACACTCCTCCGCTCTTAGTAACCACCACTCACAGATCCCAAGGCTCATCTTCTTTACCTCTTTCCTTCTGACAGTGTCGCAGTCCACTCAGATGACAGCAGTTCAGTAATATTCATAACGTTCTAAGCATGAAAAGACACAGCAAGGGGTGCAACCACAGAGCAAAAGTTATCAAACATACTGCAGGGGGCTTTAAAACTCTCCTGAAGGAATCCTGCCCACTGAGACCACATTCTATGAACAACTGCATGATCAAAAAATCCAACAATGGCCTGTATAAGCAAAATAAACTTCCTGTTTCCCAAAATTCATCTAATCATCATCCATAAAAGGTCTCCGAAAACATTTATATTGGTAGTACAATACAAAATAAGCAAGAATAAGATAGGAGGTTTCTGTTCAAAAAAGTGGTATTTATTATTCAGAAGAAAGTAAGAGGTTTTCATAAACAGGAACTTAATACTGTAGTATACTCATTCTACCCAGTTATTCCCTCCTGTAATTAAGAAACTATAAATAATGAAAACAACAGCTCTATAACAACTTTCCAAGAAGACTGATGACTACGATTAAGTAGTATTATTCCAAAATTTAATACCAGTTGTTTACACTTGAGAAATTTATTAAGTGAAGACATATTATGGTATAAAGTATCTATATAACTATGAGCCTTTAACATTTGTCAATAGCAATTCTGTTCCAATTCAGAATTACTGTACTTCCATTTTTCTTACCTGCCAAATTTTATAAGAGGAAACTATCTCTGAATTATTTGCATTTATTAATTATATAGCCAGAAAAAACTTACTAGAGGTTTTGATAAAAATTTCAAGATAGGAAATACAAAATATTTTACTATAGAACTTAAATTTTTTTTTCCTCTAGGGCTTTTCCTGCTGAGTCCAAAAATATTAAAAGTAATGAGACTTATTTACCTTTTGACAGGAACCAAACAATTACGGGCTCCTCACCTAAATGAATAGTAATTTATGTGCTTAGCAACATGCTAAGTACCAAAGAGAGAGAAAATGGGGCAAATGCCTTGCTCTTGACTCCTAAAGCACCTCCACATGGCCGGGCGCAGTGGCTCACGCCTGTAATCCCAGTACTTTGGGAGGCCAAGGTGGGCGGATCATGGGGTCAGAAGTTCAAGACCAGCCTGGCCAACACAGTGAAACCCCATCTCTACCCAAAATACAAAAATTAGCCAGGCATGGTGGCGTGTGCCTGTAATCCCAGCTACTTGGGAGGTTGAGGCAGGAGAATCGCTTGAACCTGGGAGGCGGAGGTTGCAATGAGCCAAGATTGCGCCACTGCACTCCAGCCTGGGTGATAGCGCTAGACTCCGTTTCAAAAAAAAAAAGAAAAAAAAGAGCGTCCACATTTACTGAGGCATCATAATTGGCACCGGCACAGAAGCTGACATTAGAGGGTGCCAACACGGAGTGCGTTTAGAGACTGAAGGAGGGAGGAGGGCAGGACGATGGTCAAGATTCAGTGTGAGCTGGAGCCCACATGGAACCCCTGAAACTTGCCCAGGCAGGAAGGGAGGCGGGTACAGAAGTTGCCAGCATAAAAACACAGAACAAACACTAAACTCTTCTCTTGAACTCTTGTAAAACTAAGTAAGATGATATGTAACAGAACCTAGAACACTATACAAATTCAAGAAGATCAAGTTCGGAAAATATCTCATTTGTAATGAGAGAAGGGGAAGAATATTCAGGTAGGAATAATATGTAAATATTTAAAGGGCTGTAGGAACGAAACATCTCTTCCACACCCCACCAGTCTGAAACTCTCCTCCACTTTGATTCATTTGATTTAGTAAAATCTCATTTCTTAGAAATGTAGGGCTGGGCGCGGTGGCTCAAGCCTGTAATCCCAGCACTTGGGGAGGCCGAGATGGGCGGATCACGAGTTCAGGAGATCGAGACCATCCTGGCTAACACGGTGAAACCCCGTCTCTACTAAAATACAAAAAAAAAATTAGCCGGGCGAGGTGGCGGGCACCTGTACTCCCAGCTACTCGGGAGGCTGAGGCAGGAGAATGGCGTGAACCCGGGAGGCGGGGCTTGCAGTGAGCTGAGATCCGGCCACTGCACTCCAGCCTGGGCAACAGAGCCAGACTCCGTCTCAAAAAAAAAAAAAAAGAAATGTAAACATGCCACGTAAAAAGCACTCA